CATTTATGGTTTGATTTCTTTGTATGTATGGATCACTTGGGTTGTTACCAACATCTGGTGAAAATTTCATGTCATTAGCGCCTCTAGTAATATATGTACTGAGAAAAATGGTGACGTGTTCAATACTTAATTTTACCCTCTGTTTTATTTATAAATAGCCTTTCACAGAAATATATTCACAAGGTGATGTACAATCATTAACAGTATAAAAATGGTGGAAAGAATAAGATGAAACAGAAAAACATAATTAAACATAAGCAACGAAAAATTGAAAACATCAAGAAAAATTTTAAAATTGAAAATCAAACACATCGTCAATGCAGGTGAAAATATACAACACACAAAAACATAATGAATGCGGGAGGGAAAAATATGGCCTAAGTTCAATAATTATAACCTATGAGATTAAACCCATGTTCTGATGGCTGCTTTTATAATAATCAGAAAATGAAAAACATTTCAGAAGAATTTTTATTTATTTATTTTTTTATTTATTTGGTGCAAAAAAAATGTGCTTTGTGTAACAAAAGTGCGCAAATTGTTTTTCAAAGCACAAGCATTTTTGCACCAAAAAGACCTTCACACATCTGTCATCAGATTCAATCAGGTCGTTGCGGTTTTAAGGGAAGTCATCCTCAGCGTTTAAAGGAGAGGTTTTCAATCAGCAGCAGGAAACTCAGATGTGATGAAACGCAAACAGAGATCTGCTCTGACCTCCAGGTGTTACAGGTGTGACACCTGGGGGTCTTCTTCTCATGTGTTCAACTGTAAAACTGCGCTGTCGCCTCCAGGACGACAGAACTTACTGGAGTCAGAAGCTCAGAGTGATGAGATGACACCATCTGGTGGCTCCGCCTCCGACTGCAGCAGGAAACACAAACTGTGAAGAAGAGGCATTTTAGCTCCATCTTTAAAGAAAACACTGAAAATATAAATATTTTTTATCAACAAAGTGATTCTGTTCCTTCTTCCAGCACTTCAGACACATTATTACAGCAAATATACAAAGTGATGAAGAGGTCCAAGTTTAAAAAAAAAAAAGAAATTATGTTTTGGATTGACTGTGGGAAAACTGCATTAATGCAACACCCAGAAAAATAGGAAGTAAATCTATAAAACATATAATTTATTCCATTAAACAGACACTTTCTTGATTCTGTTCACTTTTATTTTGTATATCTGACAGAAAACAACGATCAAAAACATCGTTAGCAAAGACATTTCATTCCTAACTCACGATCAAAAGTGACTACAGTACATGAATGAGCAAAAAAAACAACTCCAACGTGGGAGTCATAAACGTAACAAAACAGGGAGGGAATGTAACCGCAACCAAAGAAGTAGAAATATTTACGCTGGAAATATAAATTTGCAGACGTGGTGGGGGCGATTCTCATGACTCAGCTTATTTTTAATCTCTTGTTACAAAAATGTTCAGTTTCTCCTTAGATTGTGAAACTGACTGACATCCTGTTCTGTAAGAAAAGTTAAAGGATCATCACTCTGAGGCGGACAGAACCAACGCCGCTGAGAACAAACACAAGTCAGTAAATTAAGAATAAACAGAAATCCCTTTTTTCCCTTCAGATCGTCATAAGTTGAGGATAAATTTATTTTAAACTGATCTGATTCAGTCGTTTCTTTGTTTTCCTCCTAAGCAGCTCGACTGTTTTGTATCTTTTTAACAAAGTGATCTTGATCAACAGTTCTCCAGGCTCAATGAAGAACTTTCAAAGGTCAACTTTGGCTGCGTTTCCCTCCTTCAGTCCTTTAAAATAACTTCAGGAAGCCTGGATGAGAACGGTTTTCTTCTTCTGGTTAAAYCCTGAACACAGAGTCGTAAAAAGAAACAACCGGCTTCGTGAGAACGTCTCAAACACAAACCTGAGCTGAGAGCTCGCAGTARCAATCTGTAACAGCCTGATGGCAACAATGAAGGCAGATAAAAAGAAAAGTAACAATCAATCAAACTCTGGCTCCACAGCTCCTCAGATAAACCGGCTCCGATTCACTGGTTCTTCATGCTCAGAACCGGGTCCACCAGCTTGTTGTGAACATGCATCAAACCTAAAACAACAACAACAACAAYAAATCATATCAGGTCCACAACTTCTGCAGACTTCAAACAGCTCTGAGAAAATGCACGGCTAAAATGTGATGTGAATGCTAAGATTAGCTGAAGAAATAAAAACAAGCTAAAAGATACAGAACACTAAATAAAAGCTGCACAACGAAGTGAGCAAAAAGGGTAGCTAAAAGCAACAAAAAGTAGCAAAAGGCTAGCTAGAATATAAAAATTAGCAAAAGGCTAGCAGAAGTTACAAGCAACAAGACCAACCAGAAGCCAAAAGTGGCAAGAAATTTGTTAAAAGCAGCAAAATTTCAGCTTAAAGCTAAAAGGCAAAGAATAGTCAAAGTAACAAAAGGCTATATAGAAGCTAAAAAGTAGCAAAAGGCTAGCTAGGAGTTCAAACTAACAAGACTATCTAGAAGCTAAAAGAAGCAAATGATTAGTTAAAAGCAGCAAAGGATTAGCTTAAAGCTAAAAATAGCAAAGGATAGTTAAAACTAGCAAAAGGCTAGACAGAAGCTAAAAAGTAGCAAAATAGCTAAGAGTTAAAAATAACAAGAACATCTAAAAGCAGGAAAATATTAGCTGAAAGCTAAAAATATCAAACGCTACTCAAAGTGAGGCTAACTCATAGCTATAAGTAGCAACATGTTAGCTATGCACTAAAAAGAACAAGACTAATTAGAAGCTAAATGCATCAAAATATTCAATAAAGCTAAAAACAGCAAAGGACAGCTAAAATAGGCCAGGCAGAAGCTAAAGTGGCTAAAGTAAAAAAGGCTAAAAGTAAAAAAAAGGTTAGCTAGAATCTAAAAAGTAGCAAAAGGCTACGACTTATAACTAACAAGACCAACTAGTTACTAAAAGTAGCATAACATTAGTTAAAGGCAGCAGATTATTAGCATAAAGCTAAAAACAGCAAAGAWAGATTAAAAGCAGCAAAATATTACCTTAAAGATAAAAATGGCAAAGAATAGGTTAAAGTAGCAAAAGGCCAAACAGAAGCTAAAAGTGAGAAAAGGAAAGAAGAAAATAGAACAAGGCTAACTCTATGCTGTAAGTATCAAAAAGCTAGCTGGCARCTAAAAGTAACAAGTTAGAACCTAAAAGCTGCAAAAGGTTAGCTTTAAGTTAAAATATAGCAAAAGGCTATCTAAAAGCTAAATGCAGAAAAAGTTGAAATAACAGGATATCTGTAACAAGAAGAAAAAAACAGAACAAAATATTTTTAAAGGAACTGAAGAGAACTTCTGTGGTTGATTTTTTTAAAAAAAAAAGTAAAATATTTAAAATAAAAACAATAAAAAAATGTAAAAACCAAACATGGCATCCATCCTCTCCTGAATGAGCTGAACTTTTCATGAAAGAACGATAAAAACAGCACAAATCACACAGCTGTGCTTGGGTTGTACAGAACAGGAAAACGATGACATCATTCCGCCCCTGAATAAGCTCCTCCCCCCCCAGGCGCCGCTCGTACCTTTGAAGTATTTGACGGTTTTGACCCGGAGCTCCAGCGTGGCGTCCTCGTCGCAGATGAAGATGGTGCGGGGGTGCTGCTGGAAGGCGGACACCGTCCACATGTGGTTGACCCCCTCCTCGATGGCTTTGTACAGAGCGAAGGCTTTGTGGGCTCCTGTGATCAGAATCATCACCTGAAGGGAGAGCGCCAGTCAGTGAGGTCACTTCCTGTTCCTGCTGGAATTCAGCTTTTATTCCAGTCCTGGTTTCTCTCCGTCCCTCCAAGCAGCTGGACTTTATCTTTTGAAGTGGTTTTGATCAATAGTTTAAGACGTTTTGTTGGACTTTGCTTCCTGAGTTTAGGTCCTCGTGACCATTTCAGAGGACTGTTTTTGGATTGAGTTTCTTACAAAGATCAAGGCCACTTTAAAAGATTACAGGGATATCTGGCTGCTTTGAAAGGAAAATATTACGACGAGGGCTGCATTTAGAGTTAATTCAGAGATAAATCTGACCTCCTTGGCGTCCATGACAGTTCCCACCCCCACCGTCAGAGCCATGGTGGGAACCTTGGTGAGGTCGTTGCCAAAGAAGCGAGCGTTGGCCAGAATGGTGTCCTTCGCCAGCGTTTTCACTCTGGTCCTGGACACGAGACTGGAGCCGGGCTCGTTGAACGCTATGTGACCATCAGGACCGATTCCTGCGGACACACAAACGTCCCACAAAAGGTCAGGGTGTGGAAATCGGACTCGAGCGTCCGAGAAACGCTCGCGGAAACCGCCTCACCGCCGACGAACAGCTCGATCCCCCCGGCCTCGGCGATCTTCTGCTCGAACGCCCGGCACTCGGCCTCCAGGTCCTCGGTGTTCCCGTCCAGGAGGTGAGCGTTGGCCGGGTCGATGTCGATGTGCTTGAAGAAATTGTTCCACATGTAGGAGTGATAGCTCTCCGGATGAGCTCGAGGCAAACCTGCAGGACCAAAACCTGGTGACTACACCAAACACTCCTTAAATCTACATATTCATCAACACTTGTTGTTGAATGTGTGAGATTTCAGTAAGTTCAAAATGTTAATATCACAGAAACTAAAAGTCAAACTCACCAACATATTCATCCATGTTGAAGGTTTTCACATATTTAAAGCTCAGATCTCCACTTTTGTGAAACTCTATTAATTTCTTGTAACAGCCGTAAGGAGTGCTGCCTGAAAGAAAACACAAACTTATTTTTAATTTTTTTTTTTTCTTTTAAACAATAAACAGAACCAGAGCTCACCTGTGGGTAAACCCAGAGTAAAGTATCTGTCTGCGGACGGGTTGAACTGGACGATCCGGTTCCGGATGTATTTAGCGGCCCATTCACTGGCCAGGTCATAGTCGTCCAGAATCACCAACCTCATCGTGCTGAAATATTTCTAACAAAACAACTGAAAAAGTATCAAGAAAAAAAAGGGATTTCTTTATGCTAATGCTAGCACGCGCGACTTTGTAACGTTTCAAACTTTATATTTCGTCCGCAGTTTAGTTTAAAAGTTACGTTTTAGTTGTTAAAAAAGTAACTCCGAACAAAAACGACTGAGATTTTCTGGTAACAGCTCCTGTTTTGTCAGAGAACTCCGCTTTTCAATCACATGATCAACAACCGGTCACGTGACGTCAAAGCAGGATGTATGGAAGTCCGCGAAGGTCAAAAAGTGTTACAATCAGTTAAAGCAGTGTTTCCCAAAGTTGGGTCCTGAAAAGATTTTCTGAATTAATTACATTTTTTGCCTTAGTTGTTACAAAGGAGTGAGGTTAGTATATTTAAAATGATAAATGTAGTATAAAAAATATTGTTACTATGCCCATGTTTAGTTGACCTGATACAAATGTTTATCATCCAAAAATAGCTGGGGGCTCAGGTCTCTGCTACTGTTATTTTGTGGGTCAAAAGCTGAAAAGTTTGGGAACCACTGCACTTTGGTTCCCAAAGTTGGGCTTGGGACCCAATTATGGGTCATGAAGCACCTTGGATAATCTCCAGAAATCAATTGAAAGGGTAATAAAATAATTGCTGATGTAATATTTTCCCTGTAATTATTACAAAACACAAAATAAGTAAAAATAAGTATTTATATTTGTGTACAAGCTGTTTATATTGCCAAAAATCCTGTGTTTTTAGGGTTATTAAGGAAGTTCATGTACTCAGACCAGTAATATTTTTTTTTTGCCATGGATATTTTGTGGATAAGAAAATAAAAAGTTTGGGAACTACTGAGTTAAAGGATGGTTAGAATTTAATTTAACTTAAGTTTCTCCATTTTTTAATACTTTTTAAATCCATTTTGTTATGTTTGGATGATTATTGTTCCATCAGTGAAATGCAATTTAAGGGAAAACATCTTTTACAGCCATTATGCCTTTTTTAACGACTAATTTGCCTCTATTTAGCTTTTAAATGTACAAAGATTCAACAGAAAACATTTCCCAACAAGGACCTTTGTTCAGAGGGATTTATCAGTTTTGCATGTAAAAGAATCTGATTATTTTTATCACTGTTGCAACAATCAGAGGTCAGTATTGGATAGGACTGTTAATCTGCAGCAAACTGAGCATTGGCAAGTTTTAAGATTGTGTATCGCTTCTCCCTTTAAAGCCTTCACAGTTGAGAAAAACTGTTTAAACATTCACTGAGTTCAGAGTTTATCCTACTATATAATTTTTGTTTTTATATTTAAAATAGACTTCAGCCCTATCATGAAGAACAAAGGTAGAACCGTCACCTGGGGTAATTCTGTCAAATCTTTGAAATCATCTTCAGATTGGTTTTTTCCAGCATGAAGAAAACAAATGCTTTGTATTAATCTGCTATAAAAATAATTCTGTAAGCGCTCCTTCATTCAAACCAGAAACAGTTTTATTTTTAAGTAATCTTTGCAACTGGTTCTGAATATTTAGAAACCAATGACATCACCTTCAAAATCCTGCAAATCTTAAGCTTTAAGGCTACACAGCTACCCTAAAATTTTCAAAATAAGACAAATTTCAGCAAAAATAGAAACCAAACAGTGAAATCTTTAAGGTTTAAATTTTAATTCTGTAACACATTCCTCACGAGGAAGATGTACAAAATAATTTTCAAAGTATCCAATGTTTCAGAGTCATCGTTTGAAGAAAAGCTGCAACAGGGATAAGTTGAACTGTTACAGAGGTAGAAGCGAGAAGACAAAACTTGATCCCGGTTCTTCTCTGTGACGGATCATTACGGTTGATGGTCCCGGGACGAGACGGAGACACTGGAGGATTTTATTTATGATTCTTGTAGTCGTCCAGGTGGGACAGGATCCATCCAGATGGTCCCAGGAAAGTGAGGGCAAAGATGGCCATCACGATCGTACTCTCCTGGACAGACAGCAAGATGGAGGATATTTTATCAGCAGATTCAGAGAATCGACGCTAAACAAAACATGTTTTGATCTCTCAGTACATCTAACACAATCAGCAGGTAAGTTCTCACAAGACAAATGATAAAACAGCAACTTCTTGTTTCCATATCTGTGGCTAGTTGGCCAATCCCAGTGATTAAAAGCTAATTAAATGGCAACAAGACTTTTTGTCGTTGTTTTGTTAAATTTATTTTTGATTCTTTAAGATATTTTTGCTGTATTTTTATGAAACTGTGCCCTCTAGTGGCCACAAAAGGCAAAATATCTGAGGTCCTTGTTTTAAAGTTAAACTAAAGTGGGACTTTTGAACCTGGATGTGGTATTCTCAGGTAGTTATTGTTCCAGTAATTGGCTGTTTATTTCTGTCCAAACTGCTCGATTTAATGAGTCACAGAAATTATTCCTGTTTAATTTAATGATAAAATAAAAGGAAAAGAAGAAAACTATCTTGTTGTTAATACACTAAAGAAGTTTTGATAACACATTACACTCATAAATTAAGTGTCCATATATAT